CAAAACAGAGAATGTCACAGTCAAATAAGTGCGTGATAAATGAACAACAGCAGCATGAAACGAGGGTGAGAATTTGAAATAAACATATACAAAGAAGTGTGCTCGAGAGAAAAAAAGGACTACGCAATCTGGATGATTCAAGCATTAGATGGCCGCTACCGATGGTGTGGTTGATGCGGGTATTGTGGTGCTGAATGTGAAGCTGGGTGGAAGATGACCTCACAGGGCTGGAGCGCGGTCAGCTTTCATGGATTCGTCCACGTCAATGGAACTGTCCTCCTGATCACGCGATTCGGTGATCAGTCGAGAAGCATGAAAACCAAGAGGCAATTCCGTCTGAGATTGCAAAGCATCGATTGCTTCAGTCTGTTCGGTCAACGCTTCATCCGACACATTGGAATTCAACGAACCAGCGCTCTGAATGAAAAAGATTATTTAGCAAACTAATTTTATTGTAAGCACATTTTCTGCGATGCAAACTGCATGGCAGTGACACAAGTATCGATAGCATGGCGTATTATGTCGCTTAGTTTAAGTGAACATCGTGACAAAGCAAAAAGAACCAATGGGAAACAGACACGAAGAGATCGAGCGTTTACATTCACGACACTTAGTATAATGTCTCCTACTACTGAAAGTCGATGAAACCAGCAAAGTTGGTTAGCCCATTGTCGCTGTTCAGATAGCCGTTCACGAACGGTATGAGTCATAGCCAAGACATGAATGAGCTAAGGGTGCAGCAACTTGGCGGTGTGTGTGAACGAATGGATCCGAATAAACGAGCAGTGAATTACGCGATGAGCGCTGTTCGCGGAACTGAGCCTGAATCCCCTTCCATTAACCATTAACTATACACATTCGTGCGCCGGTTTGGGCTGCTGTCTAATGACTCCCCGCTTGGATGAACGGGGTAAAAGTAAAGTAGGAAAGTTGTCCGAAGTGAAGCAATAGCCTAAAGAAAAACCGTGAAAGTTGGCGAACCGAAATAGCTAGTGAAATGAAAGTAACCGGTGCATCAGAGACTAGTTAAATATTGTTCCAGCTCATGCGCAACACTACAGATCGACGGAGTCCGGTTGATGAAACAAATTGTGGTGAAATCGAACAAGATATTCAAAATAAGAAACAACGGTCCGACCGCAGGACGGAGTATTTGGACGAACAATTTAATAGCTCTGAGCTATATTCTCTCGTTTGTTAGCATCCGTGGGCAGTCATCTGATTATCCGATAAAAGCGGAGGTGATGCCGTGCATTCAAGTTCTGGGGAGAGAAATGCAGCTGGACCTGACAGACTCGATTTGTACGTAATTGTGCAATTAAATCTGATACAGGCAGAAGCTATTTGATCTTTGGATAGATGGGATTATACACTCCGGTTTTACTCATGACGCTATTTTTCTATGGATTGGTACCAGAACCTCACAACATTATCATGGAAACGGGCTTGACCACTCACTGTTAGTTCGGGTTCAAGTGGGGACTACTGAGAGGAATAATCAGGCAATTGTGAACATCTCGGAACAATGTGATATTCCAATGAACGTCAAGATTCAAAAATGCTATGAGCAAAGTTATCAGTTAGAAACTTGATGGGCATACTGAGGAAATGGAACCGGCAACATGCAATAAATCAAGACAAATAAACAGCAAACTGGGGAACGTTATACACGCTCATAAATCACAAATATGGTTGCACACTCCCGTCAGCTACGTGCGTAAACGCTATAACAATAGGGCAGCCGACTAGTAAGAAAGACAAATACGTGAGTTGAAAAAAGGTAATCTACCGCGGCAATATTTGAACCAAACTTATATTTTCGGTCAAACAACTTGTTCAATTAGTGAATGCATTGTGCTTAACCAGATCGTTTTCAAAGCTTCGTACTAATGTCAAATACATCACAACAAACAACGTTGTTTGTATACGTATCAGTTTTCAACCAAAAAACAAACATTTGTTTTTGGAAAGGGTAGAGTATTCTCAACGATCGAATGACTTAACTATGTGATCATTGAGAAATCCACATCCGGTCCGAAGACGAAATTAGCCCTAAATAATCTACGATATCAATTTTTCCTTTTCCAAAACTCTGGTTTCCTGTGGTTGAATACCGATACATATATATAAATAGCGTGATATAGGTGATGTACTTGGTATGTATACGAAACACTGAGAACGAGCTAGTTCGTCACTCCTTGTTCTATTTGAAACGTGCTCCATGAGACTGTTTAGACAAGTATAAAAAGATTATTTTGCGACCGATTTTATTATGTGAATTCTTCCTTACATTCAGCTCTGTAACACAAATAAAAATGTTTTGCTATGAGATATGGATGAAATACATAGAGAACCTGATAGCTTACGTTTTTCTCGAATAGACCTTGATTTCCGAGGACTAAATAACGTTTTCCATCGGCGGAACCTCTGAGCAAGGCATACCGATAAGGATCTGATAAATAGGAAATGATGGATCAGAGAATAAATGAGGTTCTAAGTTCACAACAGACTGGAAATCACAAGTATTAAATTAATGGCCTGATGTTGAATGGTGTATAGGATGTAACTGATAGGTCATTCAAAATTTACCAATCAGAATCCGGCGACAGTGGTGAACTTATTTCGAGAGAAATCATGAGCAAAGCGTGCGAAAGTCACTGATGAAAGCTTGTAAAAGGGAGGAATGAAGTCACCGTTTGGCAACGCTGGCCAAGTGGTTAAGACCATCATACAGCACACAGTAACCCGGATGTCCCGAGTTCGAATCACGTCTCTGTGATCCTTGATGAGCCAAAGCCTACTTCAAAAAATTGATTGTACAACTTTATATTCAGTAGATAATTAAAATATAGTCAGGGAAGGTGACACCAAAAGAACATTAAAGAACTGCAATGACTCGGAGCAGCCCTAGTAGAAAACACAAGGCACGTATTTCGAAACCCTAATCAACATAGACAAGCTACTTCTTACTCCGATTATTATTCGAAGCACACACCGAAATATTATCTATCCATATCACCTTATAATAATTATTATATATCACACGCGTCTGTATCCAAACTGTGCCAAACTAATCACGGTATAATTCCCTTAACAAGAAAGAACATCAATGATTTGCTAGTGGGTGGGATATTGCCAGGCCAAAGAGGGTGCATTTTTGTGGGGGAAGCAAAAACCGAAGACATCCGCTGGGTAATGCCCGACCCGCAAGGTGGTATGTGAAATCCGCAATCCACTAGAGGTCGGTGTTTGGTTTATCGAATCACACACCCATTAGACCAGGTAAAACGTCCTAGGTGTCTGATATACATCAATGCCCAATCCAGCTATTGATCATTGCCACGACCAGGAAGGTGTACGTGGCTTATACGCCAGTTCGAGGTTGATTTAGCATCAGCGATTTTAATAAATTCCCCTAGATCAACTGCCAGTGGTTCAACAATCAGGTTATAGTTCTGGATGTTTTCATTTGACCTCTCAATACAGTGGAGAAACACCGCGGTGGTGAGTGGAACTTCCTAAGCAGCGGCTATTAGAGATGTTCGGACGTAAAGGATCATTTCGCGAAGTGCAACAGGGGGACAGTCACAACCCAAGGCACCCACTCCTGGCCATACCGAGGCTTCTGAAGGCCCACATCACCGGGCGATAGATACTGTCACTAAGACCGAGTGCAAAAGGTGAATCTTTATAGGAACCTTCTTGTAAAGATAACTTATACAACCGACTGAGGCGTTGAAGAGATGATTGTTACCGTTTCCGGCTGTTACATTATTCTTAGATACTGGTCTAGTTGGAAACGAGTGAGACCAAACTATGCAGATTTTGCCTTGGCAAATCGTAGCTAAAAGCGGATAATGAGTAACCTCTTGTTTCATAAAAAACGGATTATGTATTCATAATCACAAACTACATGTCAGGTTATAACTACTCACGAACAGTGCTGGTTGGTGTCTCGGTAACATCCACAAAGGTTGAACCAGTACCGGAGACATTCAAAGAAGTCGTAGATAGAACTGCAGATCCACTGGGGCGGCGACCAAAGAGCTTATCGCTAGCGGTTAGATTGGTGGTAAGTTGGGGCGAAGGAATCGACGGTGTGGACACCAAATGAAGAAGTTTAGCCGGTGTACTGGGCGACTGGGTAGCGCTGGTTGTGGTGGCCACCTTGGACTACTGCCGTGGGTTTGTGCACGTTTGCAGATGGGAAGGTTCCAATAGCACGTGTCACAGGGATGCTCACCACAGTATCATCCACATCTGAATTCGGTGGGAAGAGGGTAGAAAAAAGGTTGAACTCGTCATAACTACGTAGATTACGAATATGCGTTGGCATACTGTTCCGCATAAAACCCCAAATTAAAAAGAACGAATACATTTCACGTTAATACATTGAAATACAACGGCGAGAGAGCAAAATGACACAGAGAAGTGAAGGAATCAATTCTTTCCGATACTAACAAGCCTAGAAATACTTTTCAAACAAATAAACTGATAGTTTGTGTAAAATGATGTTGAATAAATGCAACAGTTAAATTTGTGCACTGAATGAGAATAGTACTCGAGTTACATACCTGTATGACGCGGACCGGCGAACACGTTCGTGATAACGGGTGCTGCATTTGGTCCAGCTCCGCGCTTGAGAATAGTGGGACGCCGTCGACTAGCGGCTGACGTGGAATGTGACAATAATGATTTGGCGGGAATTGCGGTGGTTGGTCGTGTGGTGGACGATGCAGCGGGAAACGCTCGTGTTACTGTTTGTGAACCTGCAAGATTTACCAAAACAGAAAAAAGGTAGTTGCCAGTTATACCATGGTTATATTCTGAGAACTGAATAAATCTGAAATAGAATTCGCGAAAATCAGACAGTGAAAATGCGTGCCAAAAACGTGAAAACTATCAGCGCATCATCAATTGGAAAGGTGATAGACGATCTCGACGTCACCCGGGGCAGCACCATCTCCAACTCATTGAAGCCGTATATGGTTTGTTACACCACAATTCAGGATGAGGTTGCAAGATAACTCATCCCGCAAAGTATGCTTGAGTGAAACTATGTGATTGAAGGTTCCAATGTCACGGAGAAGGCAGAGGTTGACAATTGGCGGCTCATCATGAATGAAATGAACCTAGACCCATTGAACGAGCGTTTGCGGACGATCAGGGGCAGTGTTCGAATCTGGTGTGATCGCTACTTGGTAAGGGCTGTCCACAAAAAAAACACCGGATATATCTACGGACAGCGCTCTGACGAGAGGACTGTAGCCCACCACAAAATACGGTCATTAGTTGCCGTGCTTCATTCACCCAACAAAGTCCTGTAGGAGGCGAATGAACCAAATTACTGACCTCCAGTTTATGTGGAAAAAGGCTGTCTTGCGCAAAGGCCAGTGCGCGTCCTCGAACAAGACGTACCTGAGCCGCATGACCAAGTAGTACAATAGCCCCCAACACAGACAATCATGAACATTTCTCCACTTCCGCTTCATTCTCAGATCTGATACATCACTATGGACAGTTGTACATCATACACATCTTCCTGCATCTTCGATTGTTACACTTTCAATTACTATAATCGGAACTTCATGCGATTGTACTGCGGCCTAAAATGGAAATCCCATTACTGTTCTGTCGCACTCTTTTTCAACTAATACTCAAGTCTTATCGAATAACCTACTAGCTGGAGCTCTTTCGTGTCCTCGATGCAAATATAAACTAATCCAATTGAACGTGTGACCAATAATCGAGCTCCACGATCCGACTCACGCTTCACGTCCGATCTAGCTACAGTTAAGAATACCTTTTACCGAAAGTTTCATGACGATATGCCTGGAGTAAGACGGAATAGTCGTGATTTATGCAGATAAGAAAGCTAGTGTAGGTCAGCTATCTTAGAGCGAGGCACACACCTGGGGTCATATTCACGTCGCTCCTGCGATGGGAATGGTTGCTGGCTCTGTGCTCTTACTATCCTCTACAACTCGTGAGTATGAACTTGAGATGATCCAAATGCCAGTACGCCATTTGGCGTGGGTCCATTTTGAGTCAGTGACGGGCCGATATCAAACAGATCGCTATAGGCTACAACTGGCGGGGTTATATACAGAACTTTTGAGCACCTAGAATCTGACCACGCATCCGTTTGCACTAAGTAGCCCAAAAGCTTCAAGGGCGTTCCAAAAGCATGACACAGCGATGGCTTGAGTACGATAA